CTGGAGCTGATAAATTGACGCGTGGATACAGCACTGTAGGTGGACTGTTAAGTGGGGGGAATATGGAAGGGAGCTATGCATTGCAGGCAATAACTTGGATGACCGAGCATCATAGAGGGCGCGACTGGGTCATGTTGACTAGAATATGCAGCAGCCTATAGAGTGTGAACAGTTCATCTATGGAGGGTGAGTTATTTCTCCCGAATACCATTCGACGAACTTCAGTATTGCTGATCCGGTGTTCCCACCAGATTCGGGCAATGCTCCGAAGGCATCGATGTTCAAACACCGAAAGTCTTTTGACGTCATCGGCGCGCAGCGGCCAGGTTTCTGATCCATATAGTAATATGGAGCGCACCGCAGCATTGTAAACTCGACCCTTGACGGATAAGCTGTTGTCAACCTTACACCACATATGGCGCAGGTTCACAAAAGCTGTTCTGACCTTCCCAATCCGGATGGAAATTTCATCTTTCGCGAGGCCACCGGGCTGATACAGCTGTCTGGGTAAACAAATTTGTCTACCACTTCAATCGGTTCACCCGCAAGCATGAGGCTAGAGTTCGAGCCCGCCTAGTCTTTCAGTAGCACTGTACACTCTGTAGGTGTGAAGCTCGCATTCGAACAAATCAGAAGTTTCCACCTCATTCGTTAGTTGATTCTGTGTAGTGTTTGAAACTGCAAACAGACACTACTCACAGCTTTCATCAGGACTATACAAAGTTTGTGCATCAGCTGACACTTGCTGCCCTTTTTGTCTGATTTTCGTATCATCCTCGAAGCGTTTTGAGGCGAAATGCGTAAAAGTAGATCTCGCCATGAAAAATGAAAGCCATGAAATTACGCTTGATTGTGATCATTAATTTAAGTGCTTGAGGTGGTTGAGTGTGTCATACGTGCACCACTCTTCACCGAGAGGCAAGTGCGCTGAGTTCACGTCAATTGTCAGCACCATGAATGCCTTGTCTACGTGCCCCATCTATAGATTTGGATGACATAGGCCTTTTTACTCTTTTGGTTACTGATCCCTGTTGTTAATGGACGTGAAGGATCTACTCAGACTGTCTGCAGGTTGTACCGTTCAATTTCTGTTCACTCTTATCCCCTCGGAGGCAACCTCCATAGAAAACACTATCCTTCCGAGGAGACCACATTTGGGGGATCTCTTGAAAAGACATTTAAAATTCAAGACACATGTAAGAAAGCCACTCAGCTGGGATCACGGATTAAGCTAAAACAACTTCATCCAAGTTCTGATGTTTTCGCATCCAAAACAGAGCCAGCGATCTATCAACTTCGAAAACTGAAAAAGCACGACTAATACTGCCTACTTACTACTAACACCATATTTCTGGGATTTGGACTCAAAGTCATGAAAATCAATGTTGTTCTGAAAAAAATGTAAAAAAAAACTCACAACGTCTGGTTTAAGGCTTTATCACGTTTATCAGGCATTGGACGAATTATGCTTTTCTAGTTTCTACGTGAAGGCATAATTATCAATCTAACTGACGCATATCAATCAATACGGCTTTATCACGTTTATCAGGCATTGGACGAATTATGCTTTTCTAGTTTCTACGTGAAGGCATAATTATCAATCTAACTGACGCATATCAATCAATACGCGTGCCTCGGGTTACAACCCATGTGTGTGGTCACACCTTGAGAACACAGTTTTTGTCCACCTGGCGTTAGAACGATACAAAGGTAAGGGTCTTTTCCAGATAAGCCCGGCCACTAATCCAAAAAGGTGCATGTGCGAAAAGTTAAAGCCCGCCACCATTTGCCAGCTCCAATTTAATGTACGCACACAACCTTGACCGATTTTTGATGAAAACAATTCCTTATCCGCACCTAGGCTCATTTTGTGCGAAAATTTTCTCCGTTCGGAAGTAAAGCCTTAAATGCACTTTCTGATGCTTTCAATTCTCGTTCGTGACAAGGAGACGGTAATACGTATTTTGCAAAGCCACGGAGTGATGCATCAGCAAGGTTTATGCAACAATGGCCACCAAATGACACTTTCAACTGTTTCCTACAGGTGGAGGTGTAATGTCCGACAGTGTCGGCAAGAGGTCGGTCTTCGAAAGGGAACTTGGCTTGAGCAGTCTAGGATGGAGTTTAGGATAGTAATTCTATTCTTCATTTATTGCTGGTGCAAAAATTTGGCAAAAATTAACTTCTGCTCAGAGGAATTATCTATTGGCCACGCGACCGTTGTTGACTGGAAAAACTTTCTCGCTGAAGTTTGCGCCTGAAACGGTTAATCATACCGAAAACTTTGTGGACCCAACGACTGGAACTCACACAGAAACCATCGAATCTCTTTGGTACGTCTACAAGATGCAGAATAAACGCCAATGCGGAACACACCGATCTGTAGTGGACAGCTAATTGTGAGTTCGTCTGGAGGCAAAGGTACTGAAAAACGGACCTTTTCATGCAAATTACTAATAACACGTCCCAATTTACTTTCTTCAATTAAAACCAAAAGTACAAATTTCATATCCACTTTTTTCTAATCTTTTTCGGGTGGCGGGGGTTGATTTTTTTGCGGGGCCTAGCTGGAAAAGATCCCAAAGGTAAACTTTAGATATCATTCCCCTGATGGAGTTTTAGTCAGATCGAATTTCCGCTAGCCGGAAAAGATCCCAAAGGTAAACTTTAGATATAATTCCCCTGATGGAGTTTCAGTCAGATCGATTTTTTGTCAATGAATCAAGTGTTATCACGCGGGTATCGATAATTTGGTTGGACTACCTCTTGCGTTTTTCATCGATTGGGCTTGTTCCCCGGTCTGGAACATCAGACGAACAAGTATTCGCGCAATGGTGGTTGACTCGGGTGCTTCCGTCACATCGGATTCCTTCTCTCGGACAAATTCTTCTACGTTTTCATGGAAAGCAATCCAGATGCAGCCCGCTATCTCCAGTCTAATTCGATTGATCAGTCTTGGAAATGCGGTGAAATCTGCACAAAGCCTTGCGTAACGTCCTTGAAGCTCAGCTTGTTTTGTATTGAGCTCAGATAGTGGGATAGATTTCGAGACCGTTCTGAAGAAAAAAGGGGATACAAAAGCCATCGGAATAGGTCACTGTGGACAAACGGAAACAAACGAAAAATTGTGGTTTGGCGCCGATGCGCAGGGTCGAAATCTGGACAGATTCCGGATGTAATCAATTGGACCAAACTGGATACTGTTTTGTGAAACCTTTGTTCAAAAATTCTTGTCAAGAAATTGGCATTGCCAACAACTGGTATTCATCTTCATCATCAGTATCGACAGCATGACATCATCGTTCAACACCAACGCTTTGCCGCCGTACAATCATGATTCATTCGAATGCCTTATTGTGTACAAGTGGAGAAAATTGGAGGGAGAGGGGACTTTGTGCTAACTTACTACAATCATTCCGAAGTGTTTACACCTCCAAACACTCAATCTGGTCGAAAACTGACAACAAAAACGCCACTGACATCGTTGGCAGCCACATCTTGTAGTGTCTCCAACCAGGCGCAGTGCGGATCACGCGGTCCCCATCCTGGAAGGCGATCACCGACGGCACCCAAACGTTTCGTGATTTCTTTCATACCCTCCTACCAAGTCAAGGATTGACCACCTCTCTGCTTCCGCCACTTTGAACTGGGCACGGAAAACAGCACTTTATTGGTCAAGCAATGGTTTGGCATACACCATACATAGGTAACCCAAAGTAGCTTATAGTGCTGGACGCATTATTTAATAGAAGTATCCGCTGCACAACCAAGAACTCGTTTTTAAGATGCCCCGTTATGGATTCGCTGACACCAAAACAAACGAGCTATGTTTCTGAGCTACATATGTTCGAGCCCACGACTTGACAGTGATCAGGCCTTCCATGAAAACACTGATGCTGAAAATGGCTATCTGACTACTGCCGCCACGTGTAATTTTGACACTCTGATAAGGCCATTCACTCAAGCAATGGATAACCGTGGAGAAAGGCGAATGAACTTCATGACGTAGAAACAAAGATATCATTTCTGAAGAGCTCCTTGAAACTCCTTAGTTTTCCAGCCGACGATACCGCTGGATGTAGGGTTGGCATAGCTGGCGGCAACCAGACCAATTCCCAGCTAAGCCCTGACCCCAGCACAACTTTCGGCTTTTTTGTCTTCTAAACTAGACTACTTAAATTTGATTTGAGTAGCTACTTATCATATCCACTCAAACGGAGTTGCAGTGAGTTTGGGGCAGGCAATTGTACTGGCGAACTGACGGAACACGCGCCATCATGAGATCAAATCACAAACCTAAGGAAATGGCCCTTGGAGTAATTCTAAAGCTTCGTGCTACTTCTGGATTCGATGCAATAATTTACTGACAGATACTCAATGAAGGCGGGAAATCGTGCATAAAATCCAGGGACAACCACTCACCCGAATAGGACATTAATTGATTCTTTCAGTTGTTGTATCTCCAATCTCATACGTTGCCTAGTATCCTGACAAACGGATGAGACCACTGGAAGAAACTCAAATAGCAGGATACTGTTGAATTTGGCTGCATGGTTGACTGCTTCACAAAATTCTCGGACAGTGAGTGGAGTCCTGGAAAGGGAATTTAGAAAATCAACAGGTATGGAGCTTGTCTTCAGGTGAATCCGTTACCGCTACTAAATTTAACTGCGTACAGGCACCTGTGAAATGTTAGTTGATTTGTCTTAATCCGCACATATCGCTATAGATCACACCCTAGGCAGAAACGGCTGCTGATTGCAGGAATGGTGACCTCGTTTTTGTAAGTCAGCCTCTCCATCCTATGACTTAGAACCGAGTGAAGTAAATCCTATCAGGTGTTGTAATTCAGAAGAATGAAAAGCATATAAGCGTAATATAATCATCTGCAAGCTAATTTGTTTTTGCGAGAGACTTACCTGAAACCCAGCTGAATCTCTCGTTTGTGATGTTTCCAGGCAAATGAATGTGCTGCACCAGGCCGCCTCATGTTTCAGTCGCTACGATATTCGAGATATCGCGATACATGTATATTCGTGATGTACTACTCGTGAGATTGCTGAAAATTCGTCGACATGAGTATATTTAGCCAATTTCGTGCAATTTGGTTTCAAGTAGAACACAAGGTTCACGGAAATTCGGGGACCGCGCCTACCTGACGAGCCCCAAGAAGAGCGAAACCGGTCGTGAACTGTCGACGAATTTTCAGCAACCTTATGAGTAGTGCACTACAAAATATATATGTGTATCGCGATATCTCGAATATCGGGAGCGACTGAAACATGAGGCGGCCTGGTGCAGCACATTCAGTTGCCTGGAAACATCAAGACCGAGAGATTCAGCTGGGTTCCCGGTGAGTTTCTCGAAAAACCAATTCAGTTTGCAAATGAGTGTATATTCACAAATTTCGTGCAATTCGGTTTCAAATAGAACATAAGGTTGACGGAAACTCGGGGACTGCGCCTACCTGATTACACCTTCCAGGTGTTACTCGGGTAGAGTTTCCTTCTAAAGAAATATGTAGATGAATGAAGAACGTGACAAAAAACTGAACAAAAGGGAAACTACACACGATTGTGTCAAAATTTTCTTCAATCCATAGGTAATTCATAATAGTTCAAAATGAATCCGGCTCGCGAAGATGCCCAATCTAAAAAGTTACAACAATTTGAAAGGTTACCATTTGTTTGCAAATGAGTTACAACTAAGTTACAACTTGTGCGGCAGTGAAGCATCGGTGTTGGACAATGATATCACGCTGTCGATGATGATGATGATGATGATGATGATCATGATGTTGATGATGATGATGATGATGCTGATGATGATGATGATGATGATGTTGATGATGATGATGATGGTGATGATGATGATGATGGTGATGATGATGATGATGGTGATGATGATGATGATGGTGATGATGATGATGATGATGATGATGATAATGATGATGATAATGATGATAATGAGTGCATCCTTCCAGCGAGTTTAGCAACGCAGGATGAGATCCTAAATCGATAGCAGGTTGTCCGAGGTTCACCAAGACTGTGGGTGATCAATCCAATGGAATCATCTCAGTTCCCCCAAAATAAACGCAATGTAACACCTAGGCTAACCCGGAATTAGCACACGTTTTGAAAACAGTTAGTGATGGACCAGTCCTCTGCCATCCACGTGACTGTTCCTTCCTTCCCTGTTGTAATACATAAAAATCTGTACCTGGTTCTTGTGAACTTTACGCTAACCGGTTTAAGTCATTTCGAGTGAATCAGAGAATTAAAAAGCCTACCAGCTGCTCATCTAGGGAGGGTCAGGAAAAACGCTGGCAAAGATTGAACTGCAAGGGCTTCCTTTCCCCCGATTATCCGAAAAGTACTTATTAGAATTTCGACGATCATCTGTGTCGCTACGTTTCCTCCGTGCTTCGGTCATCGTTGCATTCGTCAATCGTAGACACAAGCGATACAGAATACAGTGAACACAGTTGGATGAGGAGAACTGATTCTTCCGTGTCTACTGATATCCTTTTAGTACTGAGTGGGCTCTAAATGTTTGGTAAAACACTGCAAAATTGCCTGTGTCTGAACTCTGGAGTGCACGGGCGCAAAAGCCAACAACATACTTTGCCTCTGTCGGTAGAAACCTGAGAACCTTCAGGTAGTCAAGAAACCTGGAAAAAAGACAGAACACAACCAGTGAGGAGTAATTTTTAATCAATTTAAGGTTACTCAATCAATTAATCGCTTTGATTAACTTCTAATAACGAGTGTACACTAGGCAAAGGAACAAATTTCGTTTGTCCAAAAATCCGATAGAATCCGCTACTTCCTCGTTTTGACTGTTTCGTAGCACAGTTATCGCAAATCGTGGTTTTATTTGACAGGCAGATCAGGCAAGGCATCTCCAAACTCTTCTCGTTACATTACCACATGTCGATTCTTTTAAACCGGCACTCGTTTATTGATGTTCACCCCGGAAAATTGGGGTAGTGGTGCAAGACGTCATCTTTCATCAAGTGTTCCACTTGAAAAGCTAAACGTTCAACACAGTCTATTTCGACTGCCGAGCTTAATCTAGACCAATACAGGTCCGTGGAATGAGGATTTGCCCTGATCATTACCAAGACAGTCGCTAAATCTGGAGCGGGTTCAGAAGCCGGGGACTGGAATAGTGCTGCGGAAAACGAGGCAGTCCTCCGGGATCATGAACAGACTCACAGTTAAACAAAGAAGTTGTGGCAAAGACATGTCGACTGCTGGGGAAATAACAAAGCAAAAGTGATGTCTCAAGCCGTTCCCAACAGCTCGTGGGATACAAACGAGAGGATTAAAGGGGTTTTCACCACAACATTCAGACGGAATAAGACAAGTTCATCTTGCGAGGCAGCTAATCAAGACTAGCATGTTGAAACTTGTCAGAAAAACCCGACTCGGCATTTTATCCGGGAGAAATAACTCACCCTCGATAGACGAACTGATCACACTACGTAGGTTGCTCCGGCTTGGCCACGTGTTGCGTATGCCAGTCGACCGACTTCCTCGAAGGGCTCTTTTCGCACAACCACGTGAAGGGTGGAAGAAAGCCAGAGGCGGTCAAACAATGACTTGGCAGCGAAGTATCAAAGCCATTACCGGAAAACTCAACTGCGCTGGTCACTGCTGTCTTCCTGGATGGGGGCACATCAAGGGCTAGAGACATTGTCAGACATGACCCAGTCGCGCCCTCAGTGGCGCTCGTGCATCCAAGCTACTGCCTTCAATGCGTAGCTCCTTTTCCACCCCCCACCCCACCCCACTTGACAGCCCACTGACTGTGCTGGATTTATGCACCAATTTATCAGCTCCCTTCTGCAATGCGCAGCTACCTACCCCCCCCCCCAAATCAGGGAACGAAACTTGGGG